AAGTTTCCTAAAAAAGTTCAGGAACCTTAGTTTATTTTCCTTTGATGTGAGCCGCTGTTGGGGGGTTATTTAATCCTCTATAGCATGGTGTTGCCTTGAGGCATCAAAATGATATTTTAGCCGGCTCACTGGCCCTTTCAAATGGACGTGTGTGTGCACACGTGCATCCGTACGCGGATTCACTGTGATGTTTTGGATTGAAAGACTTTATCAGAGGGTTAGGGTTAGTTTTATTCTTTTAGTTACTTATCAAATACAATTATTTCATAGAAGTTTTTCTATTTATTTTATTCTTTTTTGCTTTGTTGTTGTTTTTTTCAAGCGATCTGCTTTTAAGAATTGACCTGCTCAGATTACTGCTAGACAACCGACACCAGACGAGACAAGGATTGGACTTTTTAGTCACAGTTACCACCAACATAGTACCAGATGGTGAAGGCAGCATCATTCTGCGGCTACGTTTACCAGGAATGGAGCTGAGAAACCAGCCAGGATCATGGATAACAGAAATATGGAGAGCGATTCTGGGTGAAAATGTTTTCTTCATAGTTAGCGGCTGGAGCAAAGCACCCTAGAAGACCTGAAATCCACATGTGCCGATGTTTTCTTCGTCCAAACAGCTTCACGGTTTCTGCCCAGAGGAATTTCGAAAGCTTCAAGGGTTTTTCAGGTTTTCGTTTCTCAGCTTTCTATATCTGGTAAAGATGCTGAAACTTAGCAGGGTGAAATCTTTTTGGTTCATTTTCAGGTTTTACTTCTTAGAAATTGAATCTTGGTTTTGCTTTGTTTTTGTTGGTGTCTAAGATATAAGATACATATTTGAAAGTGAAAGGATTCTTCTCATCAGAACTGTGTGTAAAATTGATTGTTGCATCCATTTACCTTTGTGATTCATATTCATTGAGCTTAAATTACCTGAAATCTCTCGAAATATTTGAAAATCCTACGTTAGGGTGTACGATCAGTCATGATCTGAATCTATTTTCCTGATTTACATGTGTTACATGTCATTGGAGATAATTGAGCAACTCGTCTGAAGAAGTTTCTTTTTGTAGGGTGAATTTTCTTTTTGTAGTTTGTAGGCTGCATTTACATGAAATATAAAAGGCATTACACTGAAAACTTACTGAAATTTTTTTTCAGTCACTCTATCCAAGGGGGTTTTACATGACTCATACAACTCTATAAAAGACATGTAAATCCACAAGCAGGTTTATTAGTCAATGAGAGAGGAAGTCAGAGGAGTAGAGATGGTGGTGAGAAGGCAGCAGAGAGCGAATCGTCGGGCATGGTGAGCACCTAAGAGAGGAAGTGTAATCGATGTGGAAACAGGTCAGTGGCTACATAACTTTCATTAATACTCGCATACTCGCACCGAGACGCACTTACTGACACTGTCTCATCACAGCTTAGTATCTTAAATCTATAAGCTAAAGTCGACATGACAGCACCTGTTACATCCTGTTATTGCTCAATATGCCTGTGGGGAGATGCAAAATCTTACAGATGGCTCCAGATCCCCCACACCTGCTCTCTTTCAGAACTTTCATTCTAGTCCAGACTCCAGATTTAACTCTACTCTTAATCTCTTTCGAAATTTCTTTGCGAGGGTGACAATAATTTCAAGAAACATAATCCTACTTTTCAGAAGCCAAACACCAATTACAGAGAATCTTTTAGAATCTTTTAGAATAAAGTATTGAAAACATTACTCAAATGTCAGCCCAGGTTTTCTTCTCACAAGCTTTTTGTGTCAGTCTAAACTGGAGCAGTGGTTATATCTGCTGTAGTGCATGTATCGTCCATCTTTCCAGCTAAATATACATTCAACAAATTTAGCAAGTGTCTTACCACCTTTAGAAAAATAGGAAGAAGACAAGGCACTCTTGTCATCATTATCCACCAAAATGTTGTCTTAAACTTAACTTTTCCATGTCTCAAAACTGTGTGACTCTTTTGCTTCTTGTGAGAATGAATGAAGCTCCAACACGTTACCCTGGAGGGGAACCGTTCATGAATGTGTTTGTCCCCCCCTGCAGGACATGCTGAACACCTACCACGATGGTGCTGGAAAAGCCTCTAAACCCAGTCTCAGGTCGAGGTTAATGCTAATCGTGATAGGGGTTGTGTATTATCTGACACCTAACATGTTAGCATTAGCTTTACCCGGGGAAATGTCACCATGAGCACGGGTGGTGCTGTCACAGGCAAGCAGGAATCCACAAGCATCTGCGGAACATGGTGTGTGATTGTTAAATAATGAGCCTAATGCTATAATCAAATTTTAATGAGGAAAGTCCATTTTCAGCCCATCTCCACTTCTGCAACTACACCCAACTACTTCCTAGTCTTACACTTTTTAAAGGGGGGGAAATTCGGCACCATTTATGCAGTTCTTTTTACTGGACATCTTTCAGGGTATAGTAATTCCGTTATAACTTTTGGAACCAGTTTCTGGTAACTGCATTTATTCACTTTTCCAGTTTTCATAATAATAGCTTTGGTGTTGAATGAACCACTACAGTGAAGAAACAGCTTTTCCAAGATGGCCTTAAAACTGGATTTCATTTGAACAGATTTCTTCTGCTTTGGAAACAAAGAGTTAGTTTCCAGCTTCCCCTGAAAGATCTAAATTATTTATTTTGTTGCCTTATTTTCCAAATTCGCTGTGTTAGTGAGTTTCTCATGCAAGATTTGCCCAACAGTCCTTTAGATGGAGAAAGATTCTGCCATCATCCCAAAGTCAAGTGGATGATAATGATCAACAGTTTGTTGATTTATTAAATCCATCTTGTATGGAACATTCTACCTGGCTGTTTACATGTATGAGCATTTTAAGTGCTCATTGCCCATGTCCTTAGGACCCCAACAAAATCTCATTAGATCTCGAACACAAGGTATATGTACGACTCCACTGAATTGTCACTTTCCATATGTCAAGCAACACAACGTTATCATAGACCTTCCTCCAGCAAGGCATAGCAAGGAACCAAAGGAACAAAATGGACGTTAAAGGTTTGTTACGTCTTACTAACTGGTGAATGTCTCAAAACTTGTCTGTTGGGGATAAAGTGGCAAAAGCAGACAAAAATAGTCTAATCTATTATTACTCAAAAGTACCAACTGGACACAAAGAAGAAAAGGAAAACCATACATATATCCAATAATACTTGATGAGATTGTCATGGAGCAAACTATTTGTTTTGGGATGTTTTTCCATGTAATGTTTTGTATGTGTTTAACTTTTATTAAAACCGTGAAATGCTTTAAAAAAGATGGCGTGTTTTTCTGCTGTGATGTGTGTGTTTGAAATCTGAAGGCAAGAAAGCCAATGAAAGGTGATCAAAACCGTCTGTAGCTTACAGTATGTATCTGACATTAGTTTCAGAGAAACCTTTAGTCGGAGAACACTTCTGCAGCTGCGTTTCTCTGTTGTGGATGTTGAGGTTCATATGAATTATAGATATGTGTGACAGTGCCACCACTTTAAACACATGCAACCCAGTCCCCCACGACAGAAGTGCAGACATTTCTGTGCCGTTCAGCTGTCATTTGTGCTACTTTAGTCTTCTGCGAGAAGTCCCGTGTAATCTTTTAAACCACTGTGTCATTAGTTCAGACTCACAGAAAATGAGGGGATTACAGACTTGACTACTTACATGGAGAATACATGGGAGTTTAAAGACAATCCACCCAACCCAAGCTATTCATGCAATAAAATACCTTTCATGCACTGATCATATTAAAGTAAGAATCATAATAAACCGTAAAGCGAAATTTTTTCTTGGTCAGCCTTGGAGGACCTTGCATTTCAGGAGAGTGTAATCCTGTCTATGAGCTGATCTCAATTAAGTGTGTGAATTCTGTATGGACTTCTATAGGTGTGATCAATGTGAAAAAAGTACATTTATAACTGTGCATTTAGCAGACGCTGTTCTCCAAAGCGACCGACATAATACAGAGGAATTAACAATCAAGTACATTCATGTCCTTTTTACTCAAGTATTGTGTTTAGGTAAAAGGTGCTTATGCTTCATTTGAGCATTACTCATTTTACAGCGATAATCATGTTGCTTCAATGTTATTTATGTAGATTCTAATCAAATGAAAGGTTAATATTCTTGACGTTATTAAGATATATAGGCAATTGAAAGAAGTTAAATTCAACCTTATGGAATGTATGAATTTGTAGAAAGATGGTCGGAAGCAATGCAGAAAATGTGAAGATCTTGGAGAACGTGATTCAGATTTATCCACCCAGCAGAGTTTATAGTTCCAGTGAGCCTTAAAAATTTACAGGTGTACTGTACAGCATTGTGGCAGTGGTATAACTATCCCAAAATTGTAATGATAGGGAGACTTTTCCATAAGAGTATATCATTTTAGCTTTTAATGTTTTGCAATGTTTTCTTTCTGACATAAAAATGCGATTTTTGATTTCTTTTAAATTTGATTGTTTTTGCTTTTTTATTTCACATTGAAGTACAAAGTTATTTCTCTCTTGTTCTGAATTGAAGCATTTTTCTAAACAGCTTCTTCTATGAGTGGAGCTGATAAAACAGGATGTATTTCTGTGTAGCTGACTGACTTTACATAATAAGGCAGAGACAGAGTAAAAGGCATCATTAAAATTAATTGCAGTTCTGATTAAATATTGAAGGGAAATAATCATGAGTAGAAGTCAAGATTAAGTTTCAAAGCTCAAAACAACATAAAACAGCCATCGACATAACGCAGATTAATGTGATATCTATCAAAGATATTTTCTTTTTGTTAAAACTTTGAGCCATTAGAAAAATATGATGAAACATAGTTACATGCCTTTAAAAAAAAAGAAAACAAATCTCCCACAAAAATGAGGTGGACGAATCTTTTTAGAAAGTTGATCCGTGTCTGATGTGAAGAAATTTACCAAACCCATGTGCCCACCCACCCTCCCACGCACCAGCCTGTATATAGGCGGACCGGTCAGTCAGATGATGACTAAAACACTCCACACAGTCTCTGTCCTCGGCACGCGCATTTCGTCACAGGGATGATTTTCTAACCAATTACGCGCAATGTGGAAAATTTCATCCAACTGCAGGAGGGATACTGGCAAGTTGGAGGGATTTCACTCAGGGATGGTGCCTCTGCGCGCACCTGGAGCCGCTGGAGACATGCAGAGGCAACAGATTCCGCACAGTTTCCTCTCCCTTCTATGATACTCGTCCGCAGTGAATCTGCGATCTTGTTCCTGGGATGGGGAGAAGCCCACGGAGCTGCGGTGCCGTCCTCCTGCTGGCTGTCGTTTGCTCCTGTCGCGCTGCCACCCTGGAGTCCATCCACTGGAGCAGCTCCAACGCAAAGTAGGCTAAATGAGTGATAATAGGACCTTTGTTCTGCTGCAATGTCTAACTCAAAAAGAGGTATTGTCGATTCGTTGCAATTCTAGGCTAAAGTTTCCATAAATGCACTTAATATCACCAGAAGTCCTTCATGTAAAATAATGATAACTTTATTTTTGGGATTTATTTCTATGCTTTTGTTCCATAGATATCGTGCACATTCAGGCCATTTAAAACATTTAAAGCAGATTTCTCCTTCAATTTAAATCAATAAATAGTTTAATCTATATGATGGGGGAAAACATTCATTCCTAAGTCCAGAGGCCCAGTTTCATCTATATGTTGGCAATTTGATACCGAGCTTCCAGCATCAGTGGAACTACAGTGACATTTCTGCTTTAAAAAAACTCACTTCAGACTTGTTGCAGAGAAATTGTACTTCTCTCTCTTTCTTTGTGGACTGCTTATCAAATAAAAGTCCTTTCTTTTTTATTTTTGGTATTTATTTCCAAGCAGATATTGCTTAATTTTCTGACTTCTAATCATTTACTCGAAAGAGGAAATGATGAAAGCTTGACACAAATAGATCTCATCCTCTTAGTATTACCAGTTAAAGGCCATTGATCAGTTAAAGTAAACCATCCATTAGTTTGTATTGATGCTTGAGGCTACAATCTATAGCTACATGTTTGCTAGACAAATAGAAAAAAAAAAAAAAAAGGTTCTCTCTTCATTCTTCACAGATTTGCTCCTGGTCAGGGTTTGGTGCTCTACCCTCAGATAGGTGACAAAATGGACATCGTGTGTCCCCGGGCCGATGCGTCCGCCAGAGGAGGGGAGGAGTTCTACAAAGTCTACCTGGTCTCCCAGAGTCAGATGCAGCGCTGCGCCGTGGACAAGATGGACACGCCGTTGCTGAACTGCGACAAGCCTTACCAGGACGTCAAATTCACCTTCAAGTTTCAGGAGTTCAGCCCGAACCTCTGGGGTCTGGAGTTCCTCAAGGGGAGGGACTATTACATCACCAGTGAGTTGCTCTGTGCTAGACCTATACCTGCACAGAAGCATCTGTGCAACACTAAAACTAAGAACTGTAGGTTTCTACAGGTGGAATAGCATTTAAATCAGTGCTGGCAACTGTTTGCTTTTTTTTTTTTTCTCTCTCTTTCCTCTGGGAAGAGTGGAGGCCATCATCCTCAGCTCCCTCTCAGTTTGTCAGTTTGCATGAGAATCAAAAAGGAAGTGTCCTCGTTATCAGACCGCTGTCGGTTAAACCAGCATCTTAGTGGCAAGCGATGCATGAGATAGAGCAAGTCTGACCGTGTAGCCTCGCCCACCTCGCCATGCTCTGACAGCACACTTCGCTCTGGCAGGCCAGTGTGATTCCAAGGGCTTACATGCCCCAAATCACACAAGGCTTTTACAGCATCAGGCAGATTTGATGGGAGCTTTCACTGCAACGTGGCTTGTAGCCTGTGAAATGTTATCTGACCTAAATGCTGCTAACAAGTCTACGTTTGTGAGAGCGACGGGTGAATCAGAGTTCTGGGGGGGGGGGGGGGGTTTTTTTAACTGAGTTTTTGAATGGAAGTTTAGTTTCTGCGATGAGAGTTGTTTCTTAGAAAGGCAGAGATATGAGGTATGTTTTATTAATTTCATTTCCTATGCAAAGGCTGCATGTAGGGCTGAAATCATTAGCTCATTGGTTATTTGATTCAACGAGGAGATTGTACCGAGCTTCCAGTTTAGGAGGTGCAGCTAACTTAAAGGCAGTCCAACACTAAAGCTTTGCAGTAAATCTCCATTTTGCACACGGTGTTTGCATATTTTTGTCATTTGCGGAGTGTAAATTAAATATTATTTGGTGCAACCCTGTTGCATGGAGATGTTCTTACAGGTGTGATTGCCTTAATGCTTTCACTGCAGAGAAATCATGTTGAAACACATTGCCTGATAATCCTCATTAAAATGCTCATTACATCAAACTAATTTGTCCCCTTTCTCTGGCTATCAGCCACATCCACAGGCTCTCTGAAAGGTCTGGATAATACCAATGGAGGGGCGTGTAGGACCAAATCCATGAAGCTGGTGCTGAGAGTTGGCCAGAGTAAGCATAGAGTGTTTGTATTTGCCCATAAAGCCGGTGGATGAAGGGACTCGCATGGACAGAGCTTTGTCACAAACGCTGCCTAAGGAGCAAAAAAAAACTGTTGTCTTGCTCAAAATGTCATTCCAGTAATGCAATAATATCTTCTCTTTTCGAATTATGTGGTCAGATAATCTGATCATCTGGTCATTCTCTTGAAGAGAGATTGCCATCATGAATTACTGTATCTCAAATCCCTTAGTCAAACCACCAGACGCTTAAAACCATCTGTATTATCCTGTATGCGATCATCTGAAATGGCAGTCATATTATCATCAAAAAAGCCAATAGTCCAGTTTTATTATTTCATCCTCTTATTACACATATTAAATTTTTATCAAACTTGCACACATATTATTGCCCTCTTTACTGCAAAAGTGATGAGGATGTATCACCATATAAGTTAATATTCAAATGTAAACCTTTCTTTCTTTCTTTCTTTCTTTCGTTCTAAAAAGACAACATTACTCAGAATTGTTCAGATATGGAGACATATTCATGAAGAGCGACATCATTATGCTTTTATGCACATAATTTTAAACTGCTCATAATCAAACATCAAACATATGTACTCTTCCTGTATGTTTTTCAATCTAAAGACCAAAAGTGCTTTTTTATCTTGACTACTTTTTTTTAACCTCAGATCTGCAAAATGTTATTTATATAAATTATTCATTTCTTCAGCATTAGAGATGAAAAATCAGCATTTCCTGTGCTTCTCATGCTGATCATAACTGAAAATATAAAGCTGTTTTCCTGCTGTGTTTACAAACATTTGAGGCATAAACAAACCTCCTACAGCAGAAGAGAATTTAGGAAACTCAGATTTGGTTGTAATCTTGGTTTAATCTCTACATATATTGAAAATCATGTCAATCAGTTTGTAAGTCACAGCTGTTTCATCAGATACGGATTAACAGATCTTACTTTTCCAACTGAAATGTAATCATGTCCAGTGGTTATTTAGTACATTCACGCAAAATGTGCAGCAAGAATGTTTACAGGAAGGCCAGTGGTGATTTAATGATGATGCACTGAAGCAAAATTGAAAAGACTCCAGTGGAAAGTGAGCGAGTTGCATGGCTAACATTAGAGCATGCAGATATTATGATTAATGTGTGCTCTTCTCACAAATCAATAAGTTAGATCAAAGGTGAACATTTCATTTTAGTTTATTTTCTGCTTATTCAAAGGTCATGTTATGGATTTTTTCAAATCTATTTTAAAGCTGAAAATGCATGCTGTTGTGTCCACACCATGAATCAGAGACAACATTTAAAATTCTGTATGAAGTGTTGTGTTGAAAACATGAGAAACTAATTTAATTAGAAAATTAAACTGTTATTGTTTGTGGTCCTCAGTCATGTTTAAGCAAGAACCAAAACGGGTTTTCATACTGGTCATGCTAGCCGCCAACACCTAATTAAATTTTTCTTCGTGTAGGATGTTGTTGTGTTTAACCAGCATTCAGTTTCACACAGAGTCATCTGAAACAAACATACGTAGAAAGAGACAAAACATGTGCTACTTTCTTGAGTCACCACTCATTCTTTTGAATATTTAAACTAGAATAACATATGCAGTTCTTAAGAAAAATCCAATATATATTGGGAAATGTTTTCTTTAAAATTATAACAAGCTGTTCATAAAATATTTACTATTTCTTCCTATATTCTCCCACACAGCTAAAACCCTCATAGGCAAGCTTTCTTATCATTTCTTTCAGTAGTTTTCAGGAATAGTTTTCCAGGCTTCTTGATGGACATTTCAAAGTTCTTTGGATCTTTGCTGCCGTTTGTTCTGTTCTTTGTCAAGATTGTCCCACTCTGCATCAACAACGTTGAGGTTGAGGCTCTGGGGAGGATTCATCTCTCTATAAAACCTGTTGACGCTGATTTTCACTCCAGCTCTAGTGTCATTTGGCATACATCAGCCATTCCTCCCTGTTTTCCTCACAGTGGATGGATAAACCAAAAGTAAAGCATCTTTTAGATCCTGTTTCACATTTTGTCAAACACCTTTCTTTCAGAAACAGGTTTAAAAAGGCTTTAAGAGGAGACGTAGAAGTCCCTGTCACTTTCCTTTACTTTGTCATCCTCATTCAGAATGCAAGGTCTATTTTATATGTATTTTTTAAGACTTGATGACACTCCTGCTGAACGACAATAGAAAACAAGATAACTGTGGACCTGATTAAATGTGATGTCCAAAAATTCCACCAGCAGAAACCCCTGGGGAAAAAACTGAAACGGCTGCATGCATTTAAATGTTAATTCAAGTAGGCGGAAAAAAATGAATATGTTTCTGATCATTTTTCCAGTCAAGAAAAATGAAAGTCATTGACTGAAAACAGAATTTGCTGTGGTCTGATTAGGTTAGAAAATGTTAGCACAATGACTGTTGGTGAAAAAATAGACTTCTTAAAAAGGAGGCTTCTCTCTCTTTGATATTGAGGGGCTGGAATGAAACGGTGATGAGTCAATATATATCATTTTAGTTTCAATTATGTTTAAAGACTCATTACATGACATAAGCCCACATTCTCCCCTCTACTTCTAAAGTAGAGATAAGGAGTTGTGTGCTAAACTAATAAGCATGTTACATATTTTATATTCCAGATGCTACAGATCCACCTTCAACCCTTCAGGAGTCTCCGACCAGATTCCCACCCACGGCACCAAAGTCCAAGGCCAAGGACGCCTCCACAAAGGAAAAAAATAAAAAAACAAGTAAATCTGGCATGAGACCAGAACAAAAGCATTGCATGGAGAACACTGTAGAAGTGGAGCAAACAATAATGAAGATCTTACTTTTATACCTTCAGCCAGTAGTTTATGAGCTGAGAACACCCTGTAATTGTTTTTATTATCTTGCAAGTCAGTTTGACTGTCTGAACAACCAAAAATGTACTTTATACTGATTAAAAATAGAAGAAGTTTGTATTTGAGAGTATTATCCTTTCTCAGATACTAAAAAAACCCACCGTAAATGATTTTCCTGTCATCTGCCTCCCTATATTAGAGGGAAAAATTATACTGGAAGTAAAACATTTTGTATGAAATAGAAAAACATATTCATTTAAATGGGAAAATCAATCCTAATTTCAGCTCAAATGTATGAAAGTTTGGCTTAACAGGGGGAAGACTGGACCTAACCCTTATCTTCCCCTACTTTTCCATTACATTGTATAAATATTTAAACAGAAATCGAAAGAATAAAGAAGATAATATATTAAAAAAAACATAAACAACTGAAGAAAAGAAAATTGCTCTCAAATTTCCAGTGATCAGGTGTTAGGCCTCAGTTTTCTAATTTCAAAGACATGCTCACAGTCTGTTCAGTCTGTGCAGCGCGTGCGTGTCCACTTCTTTATCTCCTTTGTTTCTTGCATGTCTCGTGACAGATGTGGGATCGGACCCTGAGCAGGCTGACCCGAGCAGCGGTGGCTCTCAGCCAGGGGTCATGGTGTGGGTCATCTCGGGCTGCGCGGCCCTCCTTCTGGTCAGCGTGATTCTGCTGGCGGCGCTGTGGAGGTGCCGCCGGCGTCGCTGTGACCCTGACGGGCGGCAACAGCATCAGCAGCATCAGCCCGCCTCCGTGTCCCTCAGCACGCTGGCGTTGCCGAAGAGGGACAGCATCAGCAGCGACAACAACGGCTCCGACGTGGTCTTCCCCCTGCGGGCCTCCGACGGCATGATCTGCCGCCACTACGAGCGCGTGAGCGGCGACTACGGGCCCCCCGTGTACATAGTCCAGGAGATAATGCCCCAGAGCCCCACCAACATCTACTACAAAGTGTAAATTCTCGTCAATCAAAACGGTGGCAATCAAACATTTCTATCAGTCGCCGAGGAAGAGCTCAATCCACGAGTCAAAGTTTCCACGGCTAAAACCTGTGAAGTCTGAAGAAATCTGAAGAAATCTGGAAGGCCTGTGTGAACGCTTAGTCGTCCCGTCCTTGTACTTTAAACAGGCAAACAAATGCCCGTCTGGTTATGTAGTCACTCAGCTGCAATTGAAGGAAATGTTGTTGAAGCGCTTTGTTTTTTTTTTTTTACTGAAGGGACAATCTAGGATCAAGTGATCACTTAGTGGATGCACTTTGTTCTGTGAGGTATGCCGGTGAGGGTGCAACAGATTTATTAGAAGAAAATCACTGTTTTTCTTACTGTCAACACATGTGACGTGTAAACTTCTGCGTGTCTTTTGTTTGATCCATTTATAATCTACGCGAGCGAAGATCGATATTGCACTTGAGCACAAAACATTTACAGAATTTTCACCATTAAAGTGTGTAAACTTTGTCTGACTTGCTGTGTGTGGTCAAATGAAAATGAATGATTCTTTTGTTTTTATTAAAGTGAAACAGTTTCACGAGACAGCCTTTCTTATCCATTCAGCTCCTACTGTATAAGGTATAAGAATAGCTGTGTTTGGACTATTCTAATTTACTGTAAATCCAGGTATGCTCTCTTTTTTTCATTCCGGAGCCAAGATGTGTAACAGAGAGGAAAGTGACAGACACAGAAAAGGAAATGAAGTTTAAAGGGAAATGAAAGTTTGAATCAGAATAGAAATGAAAAATCGCTCCCTCTGTGTTCCTCCTGGTTACAAACATTGTTAAGATACACAGTCTGTGCTTAATTTGTGCAATAACAGGTTATAGCAGCACCAACATACTGATCTATAGTCAATCCGCACTGGTCCTACTCAGTAGTCAGTGACTCTGCTTTATAGTTACGAGTGCTTTCAGGTGTTTTTTGTTGGATGTGAACAAGTTCTATGGATGTTTTGGGGGATTAAATGCTTCGAATTAGACACTAGGTATTTTCTGTCTCCACACCTGTGATAGTGCCATGAGGATAGTTGTTGTCACTCTGCAGGCAACACTGTGATGTTGATGCTTTAAACTCTTTTGAACGGGTAATAATGCTTCTCTAATCTTAGTTTACACTTTTAAATCAGCATCATCAAAAGATGTTCATCTTTCCATTTTTCCTCAACCTGTGTGGTGTTGCAGTGCTTTCTTTGCAGGTTGACAAATTTGTGCAACACTCAATTTCCCAGCAGTGGTAAAGAACAATCTATTAACAAAAGCAAAGAAAAAGAACTCATTGCAACGCATTTGATTGTCTCTCGGTCCCTCTGGTGGCGCCTTGTGAGGCACCCATGGGTGAACATGTTTCATGCTCTTTCAGCCACATCATGCCGCACATTTTCAACCTGTCAGCTTCCATGAGCTTCCTCTCCACCGGGGACACTGTTGCCTGTGACAGCAAGATGCCAGATGAGAGGATCTTCAGGACATGTGATCTGCGCGCTGAACTCGGCTAAGATCTAAAAGCGTCTGTTCCACAACAAAGGTTGTCTTGCTTTTTAAAATGAAATGTCTACGTTGAGAGAAAAAGAGAAAAAAAAATGTAATGATCAGGTTGCACTCTCCACTTTTTTTACATAGCAGAGGTGCAGTGATGGAGAGCTGAGTGAATGGCTTTGCTTCTATCCAGCAGCAAAATGTAATATCCCCTCTGGCAAGACACATATTCAAATGAAAAGAAAATGTGTCAAAGATAACTTCATTACTAATTTCTATAATTAACTGTTGAAACCAGCCTAAACCACTCACACTATTTTCCAGAGGGGATACCCACTCTAACTTGACCATACAGTGCAAAATACTTGCTCACATGCTTTGAGGCGCCCATTCTTTTTGTCTCTTTTCTCTCAGAGTAAAAACAGCAAAAGACAAATTAGCTTCCGACCATGAATCCCTTCAGAGTGTGTTCGTTGTCCGTGTGCATGTGTGTGTGTCCTCCCACCCCCTCGCTTGAAGTGATCCGGGGTCTTGTGAGATGTTTTTGTCCTGTGTGAAGCTTCACATGTGAATGGGGCCGTGGCCCGGTGAGGTGAGTTCAGTTGACCCAGGGGTCACGCTGAGACAATGGTGGCCAGGCTTCTATAGGGGGAACAAAACAGAGACCCCCGGGCTTATGGCCCCTGACGTGGGAGGGGCTTGGATGTGGTGGGCCATTTTAGAGAAAAGGGCCAGAAGTGGTGTTGCAGAGGAGATTTTCTGGATATCAAATGCAGGCTTGAGCAGGGCGACTGCTGCCTGGGTGGTGTTTGTGCGCCGCCATGTAATCAGGAATGCCTCTCCTTTACAGAAATATCAAAAGAATCTCAATCTCAAACATTTTATTGCCCCTGTTTGTGTCTCATTCTTTGTATTTGTTTCCAAAGTGACAGAGAGTATGAAAGTTGTCCATAATGTTTTTGCATCTGATACATGCTCTGCTGAGGAAATCTTTTACATCACTTGTGTGGAGAGTAAAGAGCTTGGAGAGGGGAGGGGGGGGGGGGGGGGGGGGGGGGGGGGGGGGGGGAGGTCAAAGAAGGAGAGCTGTAAGCTTTTATCTGACCCCATGGGACGATGTGAAGTCTACAACCTCGCTGTGTCCACCCACCCCCCTCCTCACTTCCATATGCAGAGGAGCTATTGGCTTTGTGTGGGGGGTTGGGGGTCATGACTGAGCGCTCCCACTCCCATAGTGTGCCCACAGGAGTAGAGAAGAGCAGCTATTCTGGTGCCGGGGTGAGATGTTGTCCAGTTATTGGTCAGCCTGAAGAGGGAGGATTAAAGCTGAGATAAAACAAGCACCTCCCGATGAAGCGGGTGAAATGTTTATGTCTGAGCAAGATCTTTTTTTTTTTTACAAAATATCAACATGTAACACGTTCGGTGCAGTGTTTAACCTCACTGCGGGGCCGGAGCGCTTCTCCTCTCTGAGTCTTTGTGCTGTGCAACACGAGCCACTTTGAAACATCAGAAACTCATGTGAAAAGGGAAGTAAGTGCTTCCTCTTACACTGGGAAACAATCGTGCCTTTATATTATTTAGTTTAATAGTTCCCTCTGCTGGCCGGCTCATATACTGTATTACATTCAGATGTTTGTGACAATTTGAATAATTGAACATGTTAGACCAGAGAAACCCCTGAGCTGCAGATGATGTATTCCTCCAAAGTTTTGCTTCTGTCAGCATTTATGCACAAAAGACAAATCCACATCGGTGATACAAATGGTCATTGAGCTGCTGTACTTACTTTGTATTTAGATACAAACCTGCTGACAGATTTAACTGGACTACACTTATATTCTTAACTACTGTGTTATTCAGTTTAATGAGGTGGAAAATTAAATGGAATTAGATGCAGGTTGGAGGGATTATCCTTGGTTCCTTTGTTATTAAACCACAGTGTGCTTAGTGGCCATGAAAAACATTTCTATTGTCATTTATTTAACTGTCTTTACATATTTATGTTGTGAAGAAAGACTTGTGCGAGAGTTTTTCTTTCTTTCTTTGTCTTAAAGCCACAGATGATTCCTTTCAAGAGCAGTTGGTTTTAGAAAAAAATTGGATCAATGAGTCTCAGCCTATTCTGTTGAAAATAATTGTGGAAAATAGAAATAGAAATAGTTATGAGTTTTTTTTAAGCTAATGTTTTTATTAATGAAACATGACTACCCATCAACAAAAGCTAAACAATAAAAACCCAATACATTCCATCAAACAGAGGCCAAAAACAACCTGAAGTAATATAAAACAAATGTGCTGAAAATAGCTCCATTTGGCCAGTTTATTATTTGAATGCTTTTACATAAACACTCATTTGTAGCTTTAAAATGTTTTCAGCTAAGAGCCGTTCAAAATTAAATGTAAATGAAGCATAACAACTTTGGTCACTCATTGTGTTTATTTCAAACTGAAAAAATGCATTAATAATAAAATAATTAATCTGTTGAAGGATGAAAATGAAACTTTTTTTCACCACTCTCAGAAACACTTAAAAGCTTATAAACAACATATCTCCCCTAAACGAAATACATTTCTGAATAGCAAAGAAACAAGAAATAATCAAAACACTTAATTAATTTATATAGTATTAAAACACTGTTTGCTGTAATGGCTGCAGAGAGGCTGTGAGGTTTGGAGTCTGGGCCCTTCCAGGGTGTCTGACTTTGCAGCAATACTATTTGCTTCTGTTGTGGTTTGGTTGTTAAATGTCTGAAACTTCCAGCTGGTTTGTTTTAAATCAGAGAACAAAGGAAGACCAGAGCATTAAGAAATTCTGCATTCTCTATGAGCTCTGACATTATGAGCATGGAAAACATTAAACAATTGTTTAAAAAAAAACTATATTAACAAAACAAACCAAGTATTTCTTGTTTTCATATAGTAAAATATGCTTTGACCAAATCAAATAGGAAATTTTACAATCAGTTGATCTATGTCAAAACTATTAAATGAGTCCTAAACATTTCTTTATTTTCATCTGGACCCTTTTTTAACCCAGTTATAGTCTTCTTAAATGATCATACAATACATTTTCTTATCACTTTGTTTTTTTTATGGAAATTTTGTGTTTTGTTGAAGTTCTACTCAAAACTGTTCAAACACATTCAAATTATTTTGGCATTAAAAATAAATACTTTTTAAATCTAAAGTATAATTAATTGTTTTCATTTAATGGCAAACACTGAAATAAAAATGTATTTTTTTAAATGAAAAATGTTATTTTATCTTGCAGTTGCAGGATTCTAGTTGTTCAGTCTATCTTATTAATTTTATTATTAAATGTCAAGAAAAATAAGATTAGTATAATGAAAAATTGAATTAACGGAAAATAATAAAAATGACTTTACTTATACGGCTTTTTTTATTTTTATGAAAGGAGATAAAGACAAAATCGAATTAAACTTGCTCATAAATCACAGGTCAGTGTTTGCCCAACAAAAATAACGTGTGATTATCGTGATGAGTTGTGCAGCAGCAACAGGTTAATTAGTTGTTTTGTTTTTCTTGTCACAGATAAAATATGCTCCAATTAGTTTCACCATGCGATTAATTCAAAATAACTTCGTCCATGGCTAACCATTCGGTCCTTCTGCAACGCTTGAACGGACATTTAAAAAAAGTACGTGCAGCCTGCTCTCTTTCTGGTATTTATCTGATTTCCTCATAAAAAGCTGTTAAAAAAAGAGGCAGTGCTGTCTGTACGGTTCCCTCTCTCTCCTCCTGAGAGGTGGAGGCTGTTTGGTTGGAAGTACCGTAGTTTATGTATGCTAATAGGGGAGTTGGGGGTTGTAGCTAGATATTTACGTTCAGTGGGAGCCGCCCTTCATTCACCCACATGGTTACCAACTGGTCGCCTTCGCGCCACTTTCTTAACCCCGCAATCATGTTTAAGAAGCCTCGCCGGGCTGGAAATTGCCTCAGTCCCGGCTCGCTTTTCACTTTATGCTTAGTTTTCGTCCGCCGGTTGAAAAGTTTTCGGGATAGTTGCGTATTTATTTGTCTTTTCAGTCGCTGTGAGACTACACGGCAGACCAAGCAAGTGAGCGAAGATGGTGGATTTCGGCTGGTGAGTGTCTAGCGAGCGCATGTTTATCGGCAAGGAAGTCGGGTGTGTGCTTTTGCGAAATTCTGTGTTTTGGAGAATGAAATCTCCCAATGCTTCTCTAACGTGTGTTTTTACGCGTCTTGTGCAAGTGTTGATATCGAAACTAACATAAACGAGACGTTGGCGATGAAAACAGTGTAACGTGAGGCGCATGGCAGCCCCCTCAGCTCCACCATTGAGGGAATGAGGGAGATTTGAAAAGCTGTGTGGAGCTTTCTCCGCTGCGCTCCAGCCACTAGTCCAGCAATATTTACCCGCATATTGGCCGTCAAGTGTGTAGTATAACGATGCTGTGGAATTTGTAAAATTACTTTATGAATATGGCCAATTTGATGCTCAGTGGTGAGTGCAGTGGTGTGTGAGTTAAAGTGCCCCCCAGAACAAAGCAGCAGCACATGGGGCAGCTGTAGGCCGCGCGCTTTAGCTCAGCTAGCTTAGCCTAGCCACACAAACTTTAAGAGTAGTTAAGGTGGTAAGCACAGGCATCATGTCAGAAAATCCCCAATAACCATTTATGAAAACAAGAAGGCGGCCAATGTAGTGCGACACGCGTGCTTTGGTTTTATTTTTAAACGTGTGCTCGCTTGTTGTTGGCTAATAGCTAATCACTGTCAGAAATCAAGTCCCATTTTATTGGTTTCCTAGACACGTGTTGACATTAGCTATTTGTTTTCAGTGATACTACAAAACCCCACACTATTTCTAACGGTGCACGGAGCAACTGTAGCAACGTGGTTGACCATGTTTTCATCAAACCAAAACCAGCTAGCAGCGGCTAAGCTACCTGCTCAACCAGCAGCGCACGGCTGCCTCTGCTGGTCCCACACGGGTGGTTAGCCATGATTTATAGGAGTTCCGAAACCGCGACCCGGAGTTCTCTCTACACTAGAATAACACTCGGTTTTTATATTTTCCGAGGTTTAACTTCACCCGAGCAAGGCTCGGTTGATTTAAAGCCGTTTGTGCTAAGGGTTGGCGCACTTCGGGCGCCATGTTAAAAGCGGTGGGGGAGGGGTGAACAACACTGTTCAGTGCGCATGCGCAACTGTGTTGCAGCGAACGCGGGCCGCAGGTTGTGCGGCTCATTCATGTTTTCAATGACCTCGTGCTTCCCTAATAAGTCACAACGACTTGATAGACGGCACAGCGCTTGGTGGATAGTCGATCCACCACTGGCGGTGAAGCAGAGTTGTTATTGTGGGGAGGGTATACTAGTTTAACATTTTCGACATGATTTCAAGACGTATGGAACACGTGCGCGCAAGCAGCTTGCTCGGTTAACTTGTTGCATTGTGTAAAAGTGCACGTTTAAATTGCATTAATTCTGTTTTTGTTTTTTAATACTTTTTAGATTAACGGCGAGATGAATGACCACAGCACCAAAGAAGGCCCCATCATGGAGCATTGTGACCATCTTCCCAGCCATGCTGGGGATGCCCTTATCCGTCTGTGTATTGCCAAAGTGCTTACAGTGCAGGTAGTACTATGGAATACCTACTGCAGTGGAGGCACTTACAGCAATACCCTGACACTGATTTGCCGATGCTTTGATGTTACATGTCATTTGAAGTACTGTCTTTGTGCTAAGGTGCATCTAGTGCAGATAGTGAAATAGACTAGCACCTACTGCCCTAAGTGCTCCTTCTGGCATAAGGGGCTGTGATATGCACCACCAGACCATTCTTACTTTCTAATTGGGCTCAAACATCTCGCAGTTCTCTGCTAGTTTTGCATAGTTGCACTACAAGAATAGATGAGTTGTGCAAATCTATGCAAAACTGATGGTGGCCTGCTTGCTCTCCAACTGTTTTAGGTTTTGGGGGTGTCACATCAAATGCAACCTGACTGTATAATGCACCACAAACAATGCTTTAAAAAACCAGGAGAATTTTGGAGTTCCCATCCAGCAACCTCAGTTACAGCAGTACTAAAGTGCTTATAGTGCAGGTAGTGTTTGTACATATCTACTGCAATGTAAGCACTTGAAGTACTTCTAACTGTAAATTTTCTGGAGCCTGATATGCATTACGGAGAAAACCCTTCGTCGCCAGGTCAGTTTTGCTGGTTTGCATCCAGCTTTAACTGTGTTTGCTGTGCAAATCCATGCAAAACTGACTTGGTTGATGAGTTTTGTTAAGCCATCAACTTTTCATCGAGTTTGGTATTGCTGCATGTATGAGTGTTAAGAGATGCCCTGTCCTGTGCAGGTGGGGATTAGTGGCAATGCTGTATACCTGGAGGTATTGCACTTGTCCCGGCCTGTGAAGGAGTGGGAGACAAAGCTGATTTGATTCCATATCATACTTTTTGCATGAAAATGACTGCACTTTGTTTTTTGTATGCATTGCTTGATACTCTATTTAGTTTGATTGTAAGACTATTAGCTATTAAATATTTTATTAGTCACTTTGTAATTTGATGAGTGGTTCTTTCATTTAGTCTCCTTGTAGATGTGTAAAACATTGTTTCTAAATGCTCCGTATGTATTGTGAAATTCAATTAAACAAATTCCAAACATTAAATGAGATCACACTGTAGCTGGTTGTATATCATGGTAGGGTTAATGCTGTGGTGCAGGAGTGTATCCAGTTTCAAATCAATTTAAATAATAGAACTTTCCAGAACAATTTGGGTAGCCCACAATAAAAAAAATCTGATATCGAATAATCCAGATTTATTACACTCAGTTCAGTCTTTACTAGCAACAATAATATATTTTTCTTTGCATGTTAGGTTCACCCAGCACTAAAGTTGACATTTAAGATTGTTCCCTTCTTAAGAGCTATTTATGAATATGTGGCCTGCCCACTAGAGGGCGCCACCAGTCCGCTTCGGTGCAGAGGATGCTGCCGCGGTGAGCAGGTAACATCCCGGTACCGCCTCTGCTGCTGGACCAGCGAACTTGGACAACATGCGGCTTTCAATCAGGCAAGTCGCACAGCATCGTCTCTGCAATCTTTGTGCCGGCTTCTGAATGTGGAGATTTATCGGGACGGAAATCCAAACGCCACGCGATTCCAAGTCCATTTCTGAAACCTGAGATGTGGACTCACCTGATGCCTGCCGGGTTTTAGGTCTAGGAGGAATTCTAACTTCGAGAGAGACTACGTTTTGTTGGGACCACTAACCTGGGATTGTATGAAAAATGTTTGTGTTGCGGACTTGCTGTGTTTTACTCCTCGTGTGTTCCTGCGTATCACGGAGTCCAAACAAATGCGACGAAGTGCGCAAAGTTTTTCAACTCAGGGAAATCGGACCGAATCATTTATTGCCTTTAACTCCCAGAGCAGGTATGTAAAGCAACCAAATCTCCACGGAACAGATTTACATCAGCCTTTCTTTATTAGAAGAAACAAAGAAAAATTGCATCTAATCTTTACAGCAACCACATTTAGAGAAATGACACAAAAATCCAGGATGCCTCATTAACTCCTTTTAGCGTCGAAACTGTCTTTTTTCTAGTCTCTTTAAGTACTAGTTATAAAACCAGCTTTTTAAACACTGCAGGGGTGTGTGGAGCTGTAATGACTATGATCCCGACTGGGAAAATCTTTTGAGGGAATCAGAAGAATAGTTTAGAACGTGTTTCACAGCGAATATTCAGTACTAGAAATGTATTTACTTTTTTTTTTTGCACGTCTGCAATGAAGCCAGTCTAAGATTAATTGAATTAGCAGCAGTAGGCTTCACGAGTTAGTACAAGTCATGCTGTTTTAACCTCATGACACTTGGAATTATAGCTGCCGGTGTTACTTGTTGGTCGAGACGAAAAAGAAACTCTCCTCCCTCTTTTGGGTGTTTACAGCAGATAAGTGGCTTGCAGGGATAAACAGGAATTATTTCGTGTAAAGTTCGGTAAACTGGGCCTCACTTAACTTTTAAGCGCCACACATGGTAATTCTGTGTAAGATCTTGTGGGGAATTACGGGTGTGGATAAATTTCACATGGCGTGTCGGTGACTGTGGCTCTCCGTTGCTTCTCCTGTTGGCAAAGGAAAGCTTAATGTTGTTGACTGCCATCCTGCCACAAACTGCAGCCTGTAAACCTTGTCACTCTGTGCCCCAGCCGTTGTGGGGAAACCAATTTAATTGTCAGAAAACACCCAAATACCTCCTAAACCTCTAAATGACCCTCATAACGCCATCACTCTTTTCACATAAGTCCAAACTGAAGCTCTCTGAGATAAAGTGTGTGCAGAGGGGGAGCTTAACACAGTAATATGCTGGAAAAATTCTTGTCTAAAACTCTACTAATCATCTCTCTAGGAGCCCAGACTGTATCTGTCCCAAATGCATCTAAGCATGATCAAACATTTATCATTTCCTTGGTTGATTCAGATTAAGGTGATACAGAGATATGCTGCCCGATTGGGATCTTAGGAGTTATTTCTGATGGAGTCTGGGCTTTTTAAATACAGCCCTCGGAAAAATCCGAGTGGATTCCGAGATTTTTCCATATTCGACGCAGATGGTCTAATTTAAACGGTGGAAATCAGCCTTGTCTTTGGGTCAAAACGCAGCAAGACGGGGATCTATCAGCCTCAACCAGAAATGCTGCTGTCTGCAGTGTGGGAAGTGGAAATAGGTCTGGGATGAATTTAGGTTAAAAAAGTAAGACCTGGGGCACTTTCATGTTCTCTTATCTGGAAGACTTTGAATTCCAACATATGCGCCATCGCCTGCTCTGCTCTCTGCTCAGCCCCGAACCTTCAGGGAGCTGATAGCGTATCTGGAACCAGACTGCTCGCCCTGCCTGGGCATGTCTGAGTGGCTTCTGCAGAGTTTCCAGCCTTCTTTAAGATGCTTTGATTGTCCCACATGCGTGTATGTATGTTGCTTTCAATTGTTCATAGGGGACAATTCAAGACGTAACCGGAGTCTGGGGATATTTCCATATCCCAGATCTTTTAGAATTGAGATCCTTTGATTTATTTGAACAACTGTGAGTTTTAAAGTATTGTTTGCCCTGTTTATATGATGTTTTATGAAGTTACCTCACATGAATAGGGCTTATGGTCATGACCATATATCACAATTCTTAGGAATTTTGAAAATAATTTTCTTTTAGTTACATTGAATGTACTGTATATTCTAATTTTTCTTTATTTTCATGTGACCATCTCCTCCCCCATGCTACAGCCTCAACTCTATGGGCCAATAAATAGTAGTTTATCCCATATCTAGGGTCAAGACTGAGACATCACCTGAAGTATTAGTTGCCATAGTATCCGAAGAATGGAGTTCTTCAGTTTAAGTGGCGCTCTGACTTTTTTCTTGGTTCACCAGCAGGTTGATTCTAATGACTTGAAAGGAATTGCCTCGACAAATTGACACATGGTCTTTTTCATTCATGTGTTTTTGCTATATTACCTTTTATCGCTTTTCAGCTCATGACATCAGTTGGTTAATTTGGTGAAAATCTATAAAACAACCTCCATTATTTCCCCTTGTGATCAGCATTATGTCACTGCCAGTGCGATTCTTCTCCTGACCAGACATTTATTCAGGCGTGTGGTCAGTTTCAAAAGGCAAATCCACTAGAGGTGCTTATCTCTGAAAGGTCTAAAGACAGTAGGGCTTTAATTAATGTTCTATATTAGATTTAACACACAGTGGTCTGTGTTTATTTTAGAAACCGGCCTGTTTTGGGTGTTTAAGTCCAAAAGTCAGTACAAAAGAGATTCAATCTGGAAGTGAACATGTTTTGTTGTCTCTGTCCATAGCAGAAGGATTTTGCCTTTGACCGTTGTGAGTATTCCTGACTGAAAATGACATTATACTGAAACTTAGTCCCTATCCCATTTACTTGAGACTTGTTTTTCCCCATGAACCCTCAGGTCCAGATCTTCAGGTGTGCACGTCCAAGAACCTGACATGCTGCACCAAAAAGATGGAGGAGAAGTACCAGGTGGCGGCCCGGAGAGACATCCAGAACCTGCTGCAGATGTACAGCTCCCCCCTCAAGCTCCTCATATCGCGCAACGTGGCATCTTTTCAAGGTAATTGCTCTGAATCCTTTCCATAAGTTTCCAACCACGCAGCGCAGAGGGCAAATGTTTATCACGTCGATGCATTGTGTACGCTCAGATGATTGTGCGTAACGCCGTGCTGGAGTACACCTCGAGGAGCTCGTGTGGGTGTTGTGGAAAATGGAAGCTGGGTCGGGGTGTGTGTTTGTGTAAGGCTCCGCTTCAGAGCAAACAGTCCCTCCTCCCTCTAGATCTCCCACTTCCATCTGATCTTCAGATTAGATATGCTGGCTGTTCCTGTTAGAGGTTGGTGGAGGGTCTGTAGGGTGAATGTCGGTCAGGGATATTAAAGGGCTCCTTTACTCATGGCCTACTCTACCTGGGGAAGAAGTCATGCTGAATGAACGTGTTGAACTCAGAGAGCTGGAACACGGTTTGATGCTCATACCAGTGGTCGCGTTGTTTACCATTCCACGCCGTCCTTTCGCTCAGCAACGACGTGCAGGTATCAACTTGCCTCTGTCTGTGCGCCCTTGCCTGTCCAGTGTGGGCTGCCTCTCTCTCACTCAGGCCGATCGCTGTCGTGTTATGGCTGAAGTGGGTGGGCAACAGATGCAGAGCTTGATGACTTCAACGCACGGCCTCAGACGTGTCATTAGGCCAATTCACTTTAACGATGCCTCTCAGTTTAAAGACTGGCTGTTATCCTCCCCTGAAACTCTAGTGATTTATAGGTGACTCTAGCATGATCACAGTGTTTCTGAAGTTTACGAGGCGTGGCACATCTAAAATGTTGTTGAAACAAAGTTGAAAACGCTTCTTCCATCATAAAAAAAAGTAAGGCTGGTACTCTTTTATCCACCTCCTGATCCAGTCTACAACACTAATCCCCAAGCCAGTGTCTAAAGAAAATGTAAATATTCTTACAGTATATCAAAATATCTTATTTAACTAAAATCATTATTTTTTTCTTTTTCTAAAACCTACACAGCGACAAGTTAAATCTCATTTTATGTGCACCTCGGATGTTTTCACTGAGTTTTTGTATTGGAATCCTAAAGTTTTTTTGTTCATCAGTTGTCTGTCAAAATAATCCCACATTGGTTAATAATGATGTCTTTGATCGATGGTCCAGGAAAGACTCTTTACTCCATTGATTCTGACCTCAGTTCTTGAGTCATTTAGCATAACTGAACATTTCTTGCCTTCCTCCTTGATACGTCTAAAAAGATTGTTTGTAACAAAGTGCCCCGGGGTTACCATTAAAAATAAGTTTCTATCTCAACACTCTACTGTTTAATCCCATGACCCACAGGTAACTTTTTATTTTTCATCTGCTATTTTAAAGTCAGCGAACAACTCGAGGAAAAACAGCCAAGTACAGTTACTGGACCATGAAATAGTGAAAAATCCAATATCCAAAGGAACATTTTGACTGCTTCAGAAAGCCAGCAGAAGGGTTGCTAAAGGCGACTTTTAAAAGATTTTGAGAAAGTGTGGCACCT